AATATTAAAATATATCACTCTACTAACAGACAAGTTCAAAATCAACTTTTACAAGTTATAACAAAAATAACAAATGAAACTCTACATAGTGTACGTATATTTCACAGTAAAATTGCTACATCTTATAAAAGTTGAATTTAAAATTAAATATGTTTATGAACTGATATATTACATATCAATCTATTTATCAGTTTTTCTAAAAAAAATTATAATTATTTTGTTGATATGCAATAAACGAGTAGACATTCACCGAGTGATTAGAATCCATCTACCGATGTACGGATTCACTCTGTTCTTTTTCTACCTTTGCTCTGAGAATTGCGCCGTCGGCTAGGTGTAGGATCTTGGCGTCGCCGTCCTCTTCGATTTCAACGATTTTGGAGGAGTAGCGTATTGTGCCATTGGGTAGCTCTTCCTCAAGTGCTCGCAGTAGCCAGTCCCGCCTGACGCAGAGCATTTCGTTGGGTCCTCTGCATCCAAGCCAAATCGGCGTGTAAGCACGGCCTGGAGTGTGTAGTAGAGATCAGTCTGAGCATGCCATCTCACCGTTTCCCCTGCACATTGAGAGACGTTGTATGTGACATCTCTCCCGTGGACGAAGAGAAGACCTGCAACCTGTGTGATGTGAACGATTCAGATCAAAACATAGAGATGGAATTTTGCTCTAGGAAATGTCCACTTGTTTCTTGCATTTATATTTTTTTCAAAAAATAATTAATATACAGTATATCACTCAAAAAGTACAAAATTAAATTAACTACTACAATTTCTCAATTAAGAATTAACTACTAACAAATTAAAATGTACATAATATTCATATATTCACGTACGGCCGTATATTCTTTTTTTTTTGCAACTTGTAGAGCTCGAATTAGACATACATGGTAATAAAGTATACACATGAATTTATTTTGTTTCATCTAAAAATAAATTATGCATGTTTGAGTGACATGCAAAAACGAAATAACAAAGGTGTATCTCCTGCAGTGTTTAGGTCTTTGTTAAGTCTTGTGCGACTTCGTCCACTCATTAAGGCGCGCACGTTTTTTAATATTTAACTCTTTAAATGCGCACGTTTTTTAATATTTAACTCTTTAAATATTTGACCAATAAACTATAAATTAAATTTTATTCGATGAAAATAATATTATTGGATTGTTATTTAAATTTACTTTCATATAATTATAATTTTATTGCGACAAACATTATAATATATGAGAAATTTAAAGTTACAAATTAGTTTTAAAAATTGCGCCAAGTTTAACCGCACTTTAGTGAGTGGACGAAGAAAGTACACTAGTACTTACTCCTGAAGATGAAGATGACACTTCCTGATCTTGTCACCCACCCCAAGGGCGTCAAGCGCTTGCAACGCATTCCTCCACGTCGCGATGGCGAACCCCGACGCCCGGAGCTCCGGCGACGACTCCAGCACCCGGCACTTCACCCCTTTCCTGCATGCGGATTAATCAAGCAAGCAAGCAGATGATACCATCTCAGCTCAAGTTAACCTGCAGCTGTGCCAACACAGAGAGCAGTCTATATCCAGTTATCCGGCAAACGCATCGCTCGCCGCGCCGCGCGCTAATAGCTAAGCTCCCACCTGTGCAGCCCGAGAGCCACGGCGAGCCCGGCGATTCCGGCTCCCACGACGACGACGACGACGTCCTCCTCGCCAGCTTCCTTTTGTTGCAACACGGTTGGTGCCATCCTTGTGTTTGGATTTAAGCCAATATCATGCAGTAGTCAGCTTCTTTAGCCACAGGCCCTCTTATTACTTATTAGGAGACACCTCACGTTTTTTTTCAGCTTTCTTAGCCACAAAATTCTCTATTGATCCTCGTGGCTGCAGGCTGCATCATGAATAGCCTATCTCGCACGTGTTTGGATCCTGGAGTCCTGCTGTCTGCGAGAGTGATGGCCTCTAGCCGTAGCTTGTGTGGCTGCTGTACTCCGGTGAGTGTTGACATGTTTCCCTTACCACCTATAACTGCACGGTTACCGCGGGGTATGGTAAGGTTATCAATAGTAGGGTTTTTGAGCAAATTCAAAAATTCTAAAAAAATAGAAAAAAATCATGGATGTAGTTCTTGATTTTTAATGGTAGATGGTGAAGAATTTTTTTTTTGAAAAAGAGTAAGATAAAATCAAATTTGAGGGCAAAACCAATAATTGTTTAGGAAATGGAAAAAAGAAAAAACATGTATTGGCCTTAATTTTTGCATTTTACATCCAAGCTAGGTTTTCAGGTATCCTATATATTATTATAATTATCCTTAATTTCTACACACATTTAAGTGTTTTTAAATTTTTTTAGCATTTTTTTCATAATTTTATGTTTTCTACAAATATCGCGGTTACCGCTCAAACCACGCAGTAACCGCGAAACTGCTAATTTTTTAATTTAAATTTTTTGAAGACGAAATTCAGACAGTTTTCAACGGTTACAGCGCGGTTATCATGATAACCGTCTTACCGGGGTGGGGGCGGTAACCTCTCCCCTTAATTTTATGTTTTCATAATTTTTTTCATAATAAATGATAAGTGCAAATAATCACACGATGAAGTAGAGAAGATAAATGGGAGAGAGAATATGCTGTATCTCATGTAAGAGGTAATCTATAGGAGCAACCTTTTCCAAGAGCCATGACCCACTAATAGGCATATATAGCGTGCCTTGACGACTGAAATTATTGCTAATGAAAAAAAATTGAAAATATTGTTCACCATTTTTTTCTCGAAAATATAACACTGTTGAATTTTTCACAAGATTAGATCGTCGTAGCAAGAACGGCATGCAAACACGTAACGAGTTTGTCTACCCACCATCAGATTTGGAGCACAATGCGCGTGGATCCAGCTCCTCTGACCTTGGATGGAAAAGGCAGAGAATAAGGGCCCGTTTAGTTCATAATTTTTTTTTTCCAAAAACATCACATCAAATCTTTGGACACATACATGAAGCATTAAATATAGATAAAAAGAAAAACTAATTGCATAGTTATGGGGAAAATCGCGATATGAATGTTTTAAGCCTAATTAGTCCGTGATTAGCCATAAGTGATACAGTAATCTACATGTGCTAATGACGACTTAATTAGTCTCAAAAGATTCGTCTCGCGGTTTCCAGGCGAGTTCTGAAATTAGTTTTTTCATTCGTGTCTGAAAACCCTTTCCGATATCCGGTCAAACGTCCGATGTGACACCCAAAAATTTCCTTTTCCCTAACTAAACACACCCTAACAGTAAAATGTGTCTGTGCTACATCAGAAACAGTAATACGTAGTGTTTCACTGTAGCAACAGCACTCTAGCTCTCTAACTTTACCCATGTAAAGTCAGAGGATCCAAATCCAATGCGCGTGTGGGCGGGAAGCTAAGTAAGTTTATTGGGCCACGATATCTCATGTACCTTCAGCGCGAACTCGGCCGTGTGAGACCACAAGCATGCATCATGCCTGCACGAACTCAGGGCCTCATTGGATGGATGTTTGGGCTGAGGCTTTTCAGCCAAAACCCATTGAATTGCTTATTGGGCTGATGAGTACCAGCCACAGAAAATCTTCATCAAGTTAAATAAGCCAATCAAACCAATCAATGGTTTTTCTTTAGCTTAAAGGAAAAAAGCCAACTTTGGCAGTCAAAGCTATTTGCTTACCGATGAGGGCTTCGTACAGTGAGTACAACCCCATGAAGGTGAGGACGACGTCAACTTCACGAGTTCACATTTGCTTTGATCACTTTGTTATTAAGGCCGTGTTTAGTTCTATTTTTTTTTAAACTTCCAACTTTTCCATCACATCAAAACTTTTCTACACAAAAACTTTCAACTTTTCTGTCACATCGTTTCAATTTTAACTAAACTTTTAATTTTAGTGTGAACTAAACACAGTCTAAGAGAGAATGGTGGTATTTTAACTTGTAAGAAAGTTTCACTTATGTTCATAAAATTACAAAGTGTGTATTGAGGTTCGTAAACTTGTTTTATCGTATTATTCTAGTCCAAAACAACTTGGTTTATCGTATCATTCTTGTCCAAAACCTTGTTTGACCTACTTAGCATGCTACGTGGATAATGACATGGCACTTTTTTTTTTCCCTTTTTTTCTCCCCTCTCCCTCAGGGAATTTTTTTTATTTATACTTTTTTTTATTAAAATATTTACAAAAATAATTTGTTGTTTCGAAAATTTACAAATCTAATCGCCTGCCGCCCTTTGAGAGGGCGATTTTTAAAAATCGCCCTTCCACAGGGCGGCAAGGGACCTAAATGTAAATTTTCCAGCATAACTTGTTAGCTCTATAATTTTACAATTTAAAATTATATTATATAAAGTCAGATGAAATAAAACTTTATATCAAAATTGTAGAGCTCAAGGAGATCTACAACTTTGTAGTTAATAACTTTTTCATTTAAGATGTTTTAGATATCCAAATATTCGTTACAAAATATAAAACACATTTTAAAAAATCTCAGATCTACATTTCAAACGACATTAGATGGAGATAAACTTTATATAAAGTTGTAGATCTTGATGAGATCTATAACTTTGTAGTTTATCACTTTTCCATTTAAAATCATTTGGAGTATCGAATAAGCATTATTAGTTTTTAAGCAATTAAAACCGGTGGGAAGGGTTTGAACACAAATAAAAATTTTGTATTTAGGTCCCTTGCCGCCCTTTGAGAGGGCGATTTTTAAATATCGCCCTTCTTAAGGGCGGCATAAGGGCGGCATGCAATTAGATTTGTAAATTTTCGAAACAAAAAATTATTTTTGTAAATATTTTAATAAAAAAATGTATAAATAAAAAAAATTCCTCCCTCAGGAGTCCGGACCGGTTTGCTGCCCGCCGCCGGCATGTGGGCCATATTTCCTTTTCCATGGTAGTAGGCCAGTACAGGCCCATTCCTAGGCAGTCCCGGCCCGCAAATTTATCGGCCCAATATGAGGGGTGTCGGGTCCTACAAGTCAGTCTCCTTGCTCGTTCTAGCGTGTTCGGTGTTCCTCGATAGAAAAGAGGACTGGGGGTTTAGCTGCGCGCTCTCTCCCTCCCCCAATTTTCTCTTTCCTCATCTAGGGTTTCCGCGTCGCCGCGGCCGCGAGTCGCCATGGATTTCGACGAGTACGACTACTTGGAGAAGACGGTGGAGGGCTCCGGGGCGCCGTCCAACGGCGCCGCCGCGCCCAGATCCGAGGAGAAGGAGCGAAGCTCTCGCCGCCGGAGCGGCGGCGGCGGCGGCGGCGACGAAGAGCGCGACGATGGCGAGCGCAGATCCAAGCGCTCTCGCTCGGAGGAGAACCGCGACCGCGACAAGGACAAGGACCGGGACCGGCACCGCGACCGCGACAAGGACCGGGACCGGCACCGCAGCAGCCGGGAGCGTCGCGACCGCGACCGCGACCGAGACCGGGACGAGAAGGATAGGGAGAAGGAGAGGGACAAGGACAAGGAGAGGAGAAGCCGGGACCGCGAGAAGGAGAAGGAGAAGGAGAAGGAGAGGGAGAGGGAGAGGGAGAAGGATAGAGAGCGGAGGAGCCGGAGCCGGTCCGAGCGCCGCCGCGACGACGAAGAACGTGACCGCGAACGCTACCGCGAGCGAGACTACCGTGACCGCGATGTCAGGTGCCGATTCATGACCTTACCCACCTGTATTGGTGCCGCTGTGTTATGAACTGAGTGGTCTTAACGGACTTGCCGATTGCTTGATTCCAAAAAGCTGCCATCCATAATCTCGTTTTCACCACGTTTGATGCGCTTAGGCATCGTTGTCTCCAACAAAATCAATTTTATTTTTCTACACTTGGTCATGATATATTGTAATATTCGCGGAGGATTGCATGGGATGGGGATAGCAACATAGTTTGAGTGTAATGAGTATATTATTATGGGGTGCATTGGGACTTTTCTTCTTATTTGTACAAATGCAGCATCAATTTGTAAATTGCGTGTAATAGTTCTGCTTTCATCGTTTAGCATAATTTATAGCAGATGATTTGATAACTCTTCTATCAGAGTATTCCTATTGCTTCCTATAATTCTACTGCTATTAACAGTTTTTTGTATTATATACCTCGACTTCTTGTAAATTCCTACAATTTGAACATTAGTATGGGTACCTGCAGATTCAATTTGCTAGAGCCATCTTCTGTGGTCTTGATGTTGAGCCTGACCTAGGATATCAGGTGATTTTTTTTTAATACTACTATTATTAGATAGGAGTTAGTGTTCTATGTTAGGGTTACTATGATAGGGAAATTCAAGATGGATGATACAATTTATGCTTTTGAGTGGTGGTCTGAGAGCAATGATGGTGCCATCCACGCATAAAGTTTTGTTGCATCCAGAACATGGAGCTGAACTGTACTTCTTGTGTTGCAGAAATGCTGGTGAGCGGTGTTTTGGGCTTCTTCACTGAAGCATTGTGTCTTATTGTTAAGGGGACTCAGTATTCGGCCCGCTGCACAAACAACCCTTATTGCTTTTTACCCTTTTCAGGAGATGTCAACTTTGAGTTGTCAGAGTTAAGAGTTGTGCGAAACCTGGTTAGATGATGGTTCAGAGCCCACTCACCGTTCTAAACCGCATGCATCCATGCAGAAGGGGGGGGGGGAGCAGCTGCATGCATGCATGTGCAACACTGGGTCAAATGGTTTAGTAAAACCGTTTTTGTTCACCCCCAATCATGGTGATGCATGTCTATGCCTTACAACAAAGGGCTTTTTACACTACATTTTTTGCTTATCTCCAAGGCATGTCTTGTTACGATGTGACTTGATAGAATGTTGATGGGCCACATATTCTAATGAAATGTCTAACTCGATTAGTCAGTTATGATCTATAATGATGGCTGAACTATGCTCAGTGAACGTTGAAAGTTATTCTTCCTGGACCCCTAGATCTGACACATTCATTTCTTCAATTATTATTATTGGATAACTTGTTGGGTAGTTAAGCGTTGTGATCTTAACAAATCTTGTTATTTAGGTGAGACCGTTAGAGGTAGGGAGAGAGGATTGAGTGGTGATATAAATTTATATTAGTATGGATGGACACTAACATGTAGGGAATGATTGATATTGAGAAACTGAGGTAGTATTCTTTTTATGAGGAACTCCATTACTGTTGGAGCTGATGATTAATGTGGGCTTGTATTATATATATATTTTTCTATATTTTCGTATCAATGCTTATGACAGTTTTGCTTATTGTCTGTGCAGACGTAGGAAAGAAGAGGCTGGAGAGCCTGAAGCAGATCCAGAACGAGATCAAAGGACAGTATTTGCCTACCAGGTGCATTTTAGTGTAACATTTGAATTTCACTTTGTGACCAGGAAAATGCTGAAGCCTTTTCTATTTGAAACTAATGTTTGTGAGCATAATCACAGTTATCTCTGAAGGCGGATGAAAGAGACGTGTACGAATTCTTTTCAAGGGCTGGGAAGGTGATCCTCACTTTGAATTTGCTTGTATCCTCTTTAGTAGTAAAATATTTTATGATTAGCAGATGAACATTTACGGCCTATAATTGTGGTTTGGTGGGAAAAAAAGTTCTTCTGATGGTTGCTGCGCATTTGTTCAGTCTCTTGTCATTGCATCAAATCAATAACTGTGCTGACATTGATTACTTTTTGTAGGTCCGGGATGTTCGCCTCATCATGGACCGAAACTCGCGCCGTTCTAAAGGAGTTGGGTGAGTTTTTATAGTGAATTCTGTGCAACATATCAGATCGTTGTTTTATTTGTTACCTGTTTTTTTTCCTTGAGTTGCTAAAAGAGGGGTTTTATTTTCTTAGTGGCTTGGAATATCTAGCAGTTTGCTTATAATAGCCAAATATATCTATTGTTTACACATTTGATGGGAGGGAGGCAGGGTGTTACTTGTGTTTCCTGTTTTAGAATCTCCAAAAGATCTGATTAGACTTTGGTGTTCTACTGATTGTTACCTTGGTCGTTTGGTGCCTCCCATGGATTCATAACCTGAGATCTAGAGAGGGAGGGTGGGGCTTGATTTTAGGTTTTACAGTATCGGAATGAACTCGTTAGTTTGTGCTCATAATGCTTCTGGTTTTGTGTCCAAGTGGCAATATTGACTTACTGAGAATGAGGGAGATGGACCCACTGTTTTGGGGTTTTAGTCTGTGTTGCTAAGCCATTTGTTTGTAGCAAGCAAATAGCAAATGCCTCCTAGCTTTCTGTAAAGCTGCTCCAGTTTTGTGCTCATGTGGCAAATATTGTGATTTAGGTTGTTGGATTCAATGTTAGGCATGTTTGCACGTGAGTGTAGGTGTGCTGTAAGGTCCATTGTTGGTGGGCAACAAGGGAAGGAGATGAACTGAATCAGAAGGTATGAACCAGAGTGGAGTAGATGTCTCACAAGAGGCTGCAAAGAGATCAAATGTGTGAGAATTGTTTTTTGGGTGGGGGGTGATTGGTAGGGTATTTCAAATGTTAATGAATACCGACCATATTTGTCAATATTTTTCTGGTTGCTGTTATGATTACACAAGCATTTTTAAACTGTAGCTACATCTACGATTTATTATGGGGGAATATATTCACCGATTTTTCATACTCGGCAGGAATGTTTATAATTTGGTGTATCTACTGGGATAATCAGCTACTTATGACTAAGATGGAATACAAGATCTTTTTGGGGGAAGTAAGCAGCGTGGAACATCAAACATAGCAATTCCACATTATTGGATGCCATTTCTGCGCATTTTCATATGATTTTGGTTGGAGGAATGTGCAATTAGTTTGTGCTGGGAAAAATTAATTCTAAACCTGTTTGAAAATGTTTGATATGCAAGATTTTATGTGAATAACTGAATATCTTTTCAAAAGATTGAACGAATGCGGCCTAATTCTATCGGCGACATGATATCCTGATATTTATTATGCTTTTGCGTTTCCAGGTACATCGAATTCTATGATGTTATGTCTGTACCAATGGCAATAGCTCTTTCTGGCCAGCTGCTTCTTGGTCAACAGGTGATGGTTAAGCCATCAGAGGCTGAAAAGAATTTAGTTCAGTCAAATGCTTCTTCAAGTGGAGCAGCTTCAGGTGGGGCAAGAAAGTTGTATGTTGGAAATCTTCACTCAAATATTACTGAAGATCAATTGAGACAGGTGATGCCGACAAATTGTTTTTTAGATGAGTTGGCTGTGCTTTTGGAAGAAAATTTCCCTTGGAGTTCATAATGGAAAACATATTACTTTTATGGGGTAGAAGAATTACTATGGCATCCTTGTTATGCATATATAGAGTTTAATGAATTCTCTTTACCAGGTCTTCGAACCGTTTGGTCAGGTGGAGCTTGTCCAATTGCCACTAGATCCACTTACTGGGTTATGTAAAGGTTTTGGTTTTGTTCAGGCAAGTGTTTGCTTATTAAGCAATTCTTTTGTTTTTGTGGAGAGTTCTGTGTGGCTGACTTCTGTTTCATCATGTAGTTTGCACGCCTTGAAGATGCAAAGGCTGCTCAGAGTTTAAATGGGCAACTTGATATAGCTGGACGTGTGATTAAGGCAAGTGTTTTCTTCAGATTTACTAGAATACATGTTGTTTTCAAGCTATACATCTCAAATATAAGGGTTCTGCCTGACACTATGCTAAACTGCTGTAACCAGGTTTCTGCTGTGACAGACCAAGCAGGAGTTCAAGTCAGTGGAGTAACTACTGGAGATTTGGATGATGATGAAGGTGGAGGTTTGGTGGGTGCCATTTCTGGAGACACATCGAGAACTGGAAATTCACTTATCATATTTGATATATATATCCTCATTTTCTTTTAAGTACAATTACTTGGGACATAGCATGCTTTTGCTTGCACCTCGCCTCAATCTTTTTAGAGAAGATTTTACTCCCTCCATCCCAAATTGATCACCATATATGCATATGCACCAAAACCAATGATAATTTAATTCACATCAATCAAGACATCATGCACACATTCTCCCACAGCGCATGCATTGATTAAAACACCATGCCAATTACACCCTTAGCATGCACACATTCTCCCTTGCTGCATTAATTGTATTCCGATGAAATCCATGTTCATGTGGTTATATGATGATCAATTTGGGAAATTTTGAATTTCATTATATGATGATCAATTTGGGAAGGAGGGAGTAATGTGCAAGAACTTTACCATATGATGGTTTAGTATACACTGAGCACTCTGCATACCTAGCATATCTACTATAGCAAGCCTTTATTGCATGGTCATTTGTTCATTCTTAGTTGGTTAATGTTTGAGGCTGTTTTTAAATGCCACATACTTATGCATATTGCAACAGTATCTCAATTGTGTCTGTGATGACTTTGCTGAATGCTGATGTATGCAGGCACTGAATGCTAGTTCAAGAGCTCTTTTGATGCAGAAATTAGACCGTAGCGGCGTTACCACCAGGTATATATATGTGAGCTTAATGGGTTAAACTATCTTTTTGGTGCCCTCGTGGCCATGTCAATCTAACTACATCAGTCATATTCAATCTTACATATAACCTTTGTCCCATAAATACTCCCTCTGTTTTTTAATAGATGACACCGTTGACTTTTGGCATGATGTTTGGCCATGTTGAAAAAAATTATATAAAAATGTCATTTATTTTGTTGTGACATGTTTTATCATTAAAGAAATCTTTAAGTATGACTTATAGGCATATTTACACTAATTATACCAAAAGTCAACAGGGTCATCTATTAAAACAGAGGTAGTATAAATAGGAAGAAAAAAAAGACCATGATACCCCTCTTTAAATGTGGTATGGACGGGAGGTTGGTTAGGGGTTAGCTCGTTTGATGGCACAAGTAGTACTATAGAATCCCTTATATTTTGGGATGGAGGTAGTAGCTTGTTTAATAGTGTGTTGCTCAGTCAACCAGGTAATTTCTGTAATTTGTTGATGGTACTGCAGAGCCTTAAGTTCATATTTAGAATACTGGGATGTCAAATGTCCAGAACGTCAATTATCTTGCTTGTTAGAGTTGCTGTCATTTGTATCAAAATCATTCGTTATTGACCTTTACTATATTATCGTCAGGATTCATCCACCACTACATCAACACTGTTTCCATATGTATATAGCTTGTCAAGGTCATTCTCCAAGGACCTCTTCCAATTCTTTGGTGTACATCGCTATTGTTAATATTTTGTTTACTCCATTTCTAACATCAAATGTCAATCGCATTGACTACTACAAATTTCAAGAGAGTGAACCATGATTGAGAAATGCCGAGAACATGCCACAGTACCTTATTATTCTTATGGTATCATCAAGTTATCGTGACAAGACATGTTAGCCATAACCTTTTAATTTTTCACTGCATTTCCAATTCAAAAAATGTGCGTGGCATATATTAACTACAAATAGTTGGTACTGGTTTGAACACTTGGCCTTCCTCTGAATTTTTTACCTTCCTTTTGTCTGTCTGCAGTTTGACTGCTGGGATAGCCGGTACTGGTTTGAACACTTCTGTTGGATTACCACCTGCATCAGTTCTTGGTGCTCCTCCAGTCGCTGCATCTGTACTGCCTACAGTGCCTGGTCTTGGTTCAGTTCCTGGGGTGTCTCTTCCAATTACTACCCAAGCCATTGAGACAGCCCCACCCAGTGAATGCCTATTGCTTAAAAATATGTTTGATCCATCCGTGGAGGTTTGTTCTTACTACTGCATTCTTTTTTTTTTTGGGTTCACCAACAGTCCATACCTTTTTTAAAAAAAATCTTTACTGGTCTGTATCCTTTCTGTTTGGTTGATTAAAAACTAATTGAAACTTACTTTATTGCAGACGGACCCTGATTTTGATTTGGATATCAAAGATGATGTCCAAGAAGAATGCTCCAAGTTTGGCCAAGTAAAACACATTTTTGTGGACAAGTAAGTTTGTTCAACACTAATTACCAGTCAACAAATCTGTAACAGCTTGCATACGGCATTATTGTAACCATCTACAGCTTCCCAGTACATAAGTCCCAACACAATCTAGTAATCTAGTAAAATATAGTATTCAATAGTTACCAGCATGTACTTGTAGAGTGTTAGGGGAATAATTCTCTATTCTCTGCTAACATATCCAAAGGCTCTGTTTACTGTGCTTTTATCTTTCAATTTTCTTGTGTACTGCAACTTCAGAAAGGTGCAGTGTACTTTTGCTCCTCGTACTGCAGTGCAATTATTGCCGTGTGCAAACCTGATTTACCTTGAAAAGCCTGCCAATTTTACAAGGATAGCCTAAGGCCATGTACAACGTGTGACCCTGGCCTGTGGTCTCAAACCTCCACATCGGACGGGCGCATCCATGTCAGTGGGGACCGTGGCTCTGCAGGCCGATTCCGCGCTTGCAGAGGAACCGGTCGAAGCGCCGTGCCTGGGCTCGGGAGCCGCGAAGCCACAGCCCAAGGCCACGCGTTGGCGGAGCCGGAGCCCCGTGCTTCGCCTCGTCCGGTCGGTCGCCGTGGTAGTCGTCGCTGCTCACCGCCGCCACCGCTGCTCCCCGCCGCCGCCAGATGCGAAGAGGAGCGCCGCCGATGACACCACTGTTCCCCGCCGCCGCCAGATGCAAAGAGGAGCGCTGCTCCCCGTCGCCGCAGGATCCGGCGAGCCCGCGCCCGGATCCGGTGAGCCCGTGCCCGGATCTGGCGACCTTGTGCGCAGGGTGGCGGCGAAGGAAGTAGGATGCAGCGGAGGAGGGCGTGTGCGTGGCAGAGGAGGAGGAGAGGATGGCCTGGGGGAAGAACGCGGCGGTTGAGAGGAGGAGGCGGCGCTGCGGCGGCGCAAGAGAAGAGGAGCGGCGCTGTGGCGGCGCACGAGAGGAGAAGTGGAGGCAACAAGAGGAGGCGTTGGAGAGGAAGAGGGTAAGGCAGAGCCGGTTGGTAGGAGGAGAAAATAAAGGGAAGAGGATTGGAGAGGCTGACAGTGGGTCCATATATAGATTAGGGGTATCTATTTCTTTTTGTTGTTAGAAGGACTAAAATAGTTAATTTTATAATAACAAATATCATAGGGACTAACACAAATAGGTAGGGGCTGAAACACAAAATATACTCTGCAGTGGTCTCCATTGTAGATATCGTGGTTTTTGTGTGGCCTTATCCTATGTGGCAACCTGAGACCATAGTTGCTTGTGGCTTGCATTGTACATGCCCTAATTATTTGGTATTGTTGCAACTATTTTGCAGGAATACTTCTGGCTTTGTGTACCTTCGATTTGACAGTATAACAGCTGCCATGAGTGCACAGAAAGCACTTCATGGGAGGTGGTTTGCGGGAAAGATGATTACGGCAACATTTATGGTATGGAATACAACATTTAATTGAGGTCAATCTTCCCTTTCTAAATTTTGGGTTTGCTGATTGCTCTTTTGCTGTGTCAGTCTCCGCAGCAGTACTCAACGAAGTTCCCGAGCTAGCGGACAGCAACTTTCGGTTGATCGCTGAAGATTCTTGCTCTATTGCTGTGTAACGGTCTCCTGTAACATTATGTCATGCAGCCTTTTGTACTTTATAGCATGGGTTATTCAACACTAAGTTCGCATACATCACTCGTTTTTGCTTAAGACATTATCTATAAGCTCTCGAAGTGTACGGCGGGCAAATATTTTAACTCTTGGTGTTTCAATTGATCGTGCCGTGATGGCAAATATTAAAGAAATGTTGTCGAATTTTGGGGCAATCGTAATTGCCCAGGAAAATGATCTCATTACTTGATTTATACCCCTATCATCCGTTTGAAAAGCAGAAATTCTTGTTTTAGAAAGCACAGTTCCCTCGAGATTTCCTAATAAGAAGGGGCTATACATGGTTCCATTACATGTAAAGTAAATCATTGGATCTCCTTGAAAAAAGCTGGATTTGAATTTAATGCCTTTTTGGCCAAGTTACGCGTATCATCCCTGGATGATTCCCTTGATATGCGAAGGAGCTCCTTGATCCCTCCGGTTAGAATAATGTCACGGGCGTTATCTTCTGCGAATATGCGCATGTGATAGGAACATCAGTGATGAGGGTCAAATACTCAAAATGCGTGAGCTTGATTGTACACAGGGAGGGATCGAAGGTGACGGCAGCTAGTCAGTTTACGTACCATTTTGAGCTAAATGGCAAAATGCAAGCTCAATATGTCTTCGAGTTGAAGCAGAAAACGCGGATGAATTGGCCACCATCCAATTAAGAACACCTTCTTCGATGAGGAGGGATCTCCCTTTCCTGTGACCTATTTTGGGTAGAATGGCAAAAAAGTTGGATTTTCCCTCTCAAGTTTGCATAGTTATCTTCAGGAGAAAAGAGCTGAGGACAGTAGTGTTCCATAGTGTTCAAGGTAAAAAAATATGTAACATGTGACAATGCAATCCATGTTAAGGCATATTTAGCATATATGATTGTGTAAGCCTACCAGGATATTATTAATTGATTAGTGGTGTAATATCGGTTCGTGTTCTTGTGAACATGTGCGTTATATGCATAGATCTACTATAGTAATTTTCAAGAAGTATGTACGCAATTTCAGCAGGCTCTAGCCCTGTTGGCATGTTGTATCATATCAGTGTATCACACTTCAGATTGTCCTCTGCCGCATTTTACCTCTTTTCAACTACACCCAGATCGTCATAACTATCCAAATAAATTCAGGACTGTTCTGCAGTTGATATTCATGCAACCATGTGGAGTTTGATATTCAAACCATAAGCTCATAGAAAACAACAAACAATTACAGAATAATATGAACGAATATATCCATCACAAATGAGTAATAGAGAATGTACTAACCTTGACTTATTACTCGGGATTCACATTTTGCAAAATTAGCCATTCCCCGTGCTATCTGAGCTATGACTTCGTTGTGTCCAGTTCGGAACATTCCGAGAAGTGCTTTTATTCCGCCATCTTGTTTCAACATAACATGCAGCTTTTCTGCAAAAAAAAAAAGAAAAGGAGTACATGGTATTGGTCACTCATTATCAATCAATGTTCTACATACACGAGCTCTCTTGTTTCCATTCCAAAGGAATGCTAGCTCGATAGTTGCATGTCATTGCTGTTCAAGAAGCCACAAGTGGTGCACCCTCACAAGTCACAAGAGGACAATTGCCCAACTAAAATTACATTATTCTAAAACAAAATAAATTAAAGAAATGTACTTATCAGCTCTTGACAAATATCCGGTGCACCAATTAACAAGTTTGATCCGTAAAATCATGACTTTATCTTGTTTACATTCTGCATCGCTATCCACCTTTTTATCTTCATTTCAGAACTACTAGCAATCAGCGTTAAAAAAGGCCCTGATAAGCTGTCCTGATGCGCCGGAGGATTAGTGGCTACTGGCTAGAAGGATATGAATTCAAACTAAACACTCAAATTGTAAATTTAGATTTTTTTTTTTCAGCAGGTAACTGCACAGTTACCCTCCGGTACTGGTAAAAAAAATTCAAATTTTGGATTTGAATTTTATCTAGTAAAATCTGGTAATCGGTGGAACCAGGCCTGGTAAGTTAGGGAATACTGGTATTTGGAACGCTGCTAGCAACATTGTCAAACAAAAATAGTTAACTCATTAAAATTGAAATTGAAATTTGAATAAAAATATGACACCCACTGCCGTTCAAGAAAATTGAAATTCCATATTAAAAGGAATATTTTGCTATAATGGATACAATAAAGACAGGTTGTACCGTTTCCACATAGGTTGGCAAGGGCACCAGCAACCATCCGCAGAGTTTGGGGATCATTAGTTTTCGACGCAATATTTGCTAATAATCGAGCTCCTCCTTTGTTCATTATTAGTCCCTGGTTTGATCCTGCACTTACAAGGATCTAACTTAATACTCAAGTTATTGCCTGTTCATTTTATAAATATCGCAATATAAATTTGACTAATAATATAGATATAGTTCAAATATGTAAAAAGAATATCTCATGCTGGAAACCTATTGGGGAATTTTCCTTCAGTCAATGACTGGGCCATTTGGCATGTGCGGAAGACATTTAGTGAAAGACTATAGAACACACCGGTTAACAACTACTTCCATGCTGCAATATTATCAGCAGTGAGCCAACTATACAATGAAATAATAGCCCCTTTTGACCAAATGTGGAAAATAAATCTCATGAGAGGTTGGAATAGGCATTACCATTCATTGCCAAATTAGCAATAGCACCAGCTGTGACTCGATGAATTGTGGTATTTTCTGATGTTTCTAGAAGTGACAGAAGAGCATCCAGTCCTCCTTCTTCAACGATTTTTTCCTGATTAACGTCTGCAATCCCAGATGGATTGGTGATAACAATTAACTATGGTTATAACAGTTGCCTTCTAAAGGAGAAAACATAGCATAGACAGCAGATAACTGAAACAAATCACTGGCTTCAATATTATGACCAAGTGCAAATTACAATTCGTATGGAACAGTTGAATATGTTCGTCAACAGAATTTGAACAATATGCCACTTTCACATTTTTCACATATTATAACCAAAAGAGATCCACATATTTTTAGGGAAAAAAAATCCTCTTTTCAGGAATATTTTCCATGCAAATGTACAAGGAAAGGCAGTGAATGAAAAATATTCAGAGTTTTACATAAAGTCCCGTACCTTCAGCAGCAAGATTAGCTACTACTTTGACAGCATGGATCTGCACCTCTAGTTCATCAGACTTCAACAGAGCCAGGACATTTGGAAGACCGACTGAATGCCAGTTGGACCAAAAATAATGTCAAGATGGCTACCCACAAAAAACAGCTACACTGATATTGTACCACAAATAAAAGTACCTTCTTCAAATATCTTTGATATGTTACTTCTCTGGCTAGATAGCAACTCTCTGGATTTTCCTGACTTAGACATAAAAGGCACACTACCTAATCCAGATCCTGATCTAACCATACCACATAATGCTTTAGACTGTCAAAAAGAGAGATTGACATAAGATATGATTGGAAAATGAGCATCAGAATGTCAAGATTATAATGCAAGTGTGGTACCTCTTCAGAGCAATTATCAGCCAAAGATTGTTTCAACCTTAGAATTTCATCTTCAAGGCCCTGTCTATGTCTCATCTCCTGTTGCATCTTTTCTTGAGTAGATTTCAGCTCTTCATACACCAACTCCTAGAAGAATAATTAAATAAAAAGGTACATTAAAATTGTTTCAGATTTGAGAAAACCTAAACATCTCCATATGTTTAGATGTGCTGTCCCGTGTTTGCCATACCTTCTCTGATATGAGATCAGCAATTCTTTCTTCGAGTGAGCTTATTTGACTGGCAAATTCTTCAGTGGTTCTGGAGAGCTGCTTCTCCAATTCACAGGCTATATTTTTCTGCAACCGGGATATCCTCATATTAACCTTTTCAAAATTCCTGAAGGATGCAAACAAGTCCTCCAACAAACCTTAAATTATTGCAGGGACATGCGCAATGACATTCTGCCAAAAGGCCAATAGTGAAGAAAAAAAAGGAAAAACTATAGAGAACCCAAGGCATGTCTAGTCTAAAATGTTTTTCCATTTCAAGTATGGAGAGTAGTCCTGGTTGAGGAATGAGGATATTATATCCAAACAAGATGCAACCACAAACAAAAAATGTATACCTGAATTATCTGACTGTTATATTGTATTAGACTATTAGTTACTATGAATTATCTGACTGCATTATAGCTACAGTTGTAAATTCTGAAAGTATACCTGAAAATAATTCTGAGCATCACTCAGTTGCTGTTGTAGTACATTTAAATGGTCGTTCATGCTAGCAGAACGTGATCTTTCATCTTCAAGTTGCTTCAGCAATTCTCTTATTTTCTTCTCATGAGATTTAGTTGTATCGGCAAGAATATTTGTGTTTGAGATGTTCTCAAGCTGTTTTTGCTACTAACAACAAAACTTGTGTTAGAACTGTGAAATTATTGAAATAGGACATCTCAGTGTCAGCAGAACTACATCAAATACTAAGTACAAAATCAAGATAAACATTACATATGAGAGAAATATATAATATGGCAAAGAAAATCTACCTTATTCTCATCCAATGATGTTTCTAAGTGAATAATTTGCTCAGATAAAATATTATTTTTGCCTTTCTCTTTCTCAAGGTCCAGCATCAATCTCTTGATTGTAGATTCCAATTGACGCTTTTCCATCGCCATATTCTGCGAAAATAAATCACTTGTTACATTATATCTATAATGCCCTGAAGCAAGTTTTATGTACTGAAAGTGATTTTTCCTGAATGCTCACAATTAATAATTATATGGAAAGCACAAACAAAAATACAACCAATTTACTTGTCAGAAATTACAATAGATATTTACTTCAATTCATGTACCCAATAGGAAGGACAAAGGTAAGTAAGAAGGTTCTGTAATAAACAAAAGGCACCCAAACTGGTAGATTTTTGTGGAGTGACAAAAATGAATCAAAATTAATATACAATGCAAACTTCATAGTCTATGCTTTTTGGACAATTAGTCTATGAAAGTTATACCTCAATTTGCATGTTAGAGGTCACTTTTAAATCATTCAAGGATGCTTCTGATTCTTTCAGTTTTTTCTCCAACTGCATTTTCTCACTGTTTTTAAGCTTTTGCTGCCTCTCCATCTCTGACGTAAGATGATCAACTTCATGTTCTACCTTCTTATATAGGCTTTCATAATCAACTTCCTCCTTTATCCTTATCGTGTTCACTATTTTCATTGC